CACACAAGAGACGCAATGAGATATTTAAACATGTATGTCCGATTTACTTAAAAGTATGGTCTCAAGGTGCACCCATTTAACCTAGAAATGTCTAAAGTTTATCCTTCTTTATGGCAGAATAGTACTCCATTATCTTTCATCCATGATGAGTATTTGGGCTGTTTCTAAGATTTAGCTGTTACAGATTGTGCTGCTATAAACATGGGTGTGCATATATTGCATAAAACTTGTAAACATGGGTGTATGATGCTTTTAACTCTTTTGGGAAGATACCAAGAAGGAGAATAGCTGGGTCACATGGAACCTCTAATTTTAGTTTTTTGAGGAATCTCCATACTGATTTGCATATTACACTCCCACCAGTAGTGGAGAAATGTTCCTTTTCCCCCACAGTCTTGCCAGCATTGGTTATTGGTTGATATTTTTTTGGTACTGGAGATCAAACTCAGGACCTTGAGCTTGCAAGGCAGGCGGCAGCACCACTGAGCTAAATCCCTGGCCCTGTTCACTTCATATTTTGAAGACTATCTTTGTTGCTTCCAGTTTTTAGTAGTTATTAAAAAAACCCTGTAAATCTGCCTGTGCAGGTTTTAGTGTGGACACTGAATTTTAAGTTCCTTTGGGTAGTTACCCAAGAATGTGATTGTTGTATCACATGTTTAAGTTTGAGAAACTGCCAAACTCTTTAAAGTGGCTATAACATTTTGCATTCCCACTAGCAACAAATGAGAGAGTTCCTTTTGCCCCATATCCACACCAGCATTTGATATTTTTAAAAGGTTATTTTCTGATAGATATGTACTGGTATCTTGTTATTTCCAGTGCTGAGGATTGAGCTCAAGGCCCGTATATACTAAACACATTCTACCATTAAACTATATCCCCATTCCCTGATCAATTGTTTCTTAAAACTTTATACTTTTTTTGGGGCCAGGGATTTAGCTCAGTGGTTTCGCTGCCTGCTGCGCAAGCGCAAGGACCCGAGTTTGATCCCCGGTACCGGAAAAAACAACAACAACAAAACTATACTTTTTTTTTTTCCTGAGACAAGGTCTCATTGTATGGTTCATGCTGGCCTTGAACTCTATGTAGACCAAGCTAGCCTCTGACTAAGGTCAATCCTCCTGCCTCACCCTTCCAAGTGCTAGGATTACAGGTGTGTGCCACAACACCCAGTTCAAATTTTATTCTAAAATTATTTAATAAATATTGGGGGGGAAGGGGGCTGGGGATACAGCTCAGTGATAGAGCACTTACCTAGCATACCTGAGGCCCTGAGGTAGATCCTGGCCATTTAAAAAAGAAACTAAAAAGGAAAACCACAAGCTATTCAATTTGTTCATTTTAGGATTTTTTTTTTTTTTTGTACCGGAGATCAAACTCGGGACCTTGCACTTGTGAGGCAGGTGGTGGAACCACTGAGCTAAATCCCAGGCCCCCCCCTGTTCGTTTTAGTTTAACAGTACCCTTACCCCCCGCCTTGGTAATCTAACCTATGCCTCAGGCATGATGGGCAAGCACTGTACCACTTAGCTACATTCCCATGATGGGGATGGGGGCAGGGGTCAAATGAGATTTTCCTAACCTTCTTGGATGTAATTAGAGGCATTGTTTAGAATCTGCTTTTGCCTTATTAAAAGATTGATACTAGGTTATGAGTTAATTGACAAGTGCCCGATTGTTTTGACATGAGCATTAGGAAGTGTGAGCCAAACCTGGTACCAGGTAAATGACAGTTGCAGGCAGTCAAGGGGCTTGGTAGGAGATGTTTATTCAGAATTTTTGAACTGTCGCTGAAGTTAAGGGGCTTCGCCACTTATATGTTTTATTGTTCAAACTTTCAGCTGTACAGTATGTGTTTTTTTTTGGTACCAGGAGTCGAGCTCAGGACCTTGGTTTTGTGAGGCAAGCATGCTGCCACTTAGCTAAATCCCAGGCCTCTACGGTACCTTGACTATCCTCATGGCTTGCTTCTTTCTACTACACTTGTGGAAGGCTATCCAGAAGATTGAGATGCCTAAGACTGAATAGGAAGAGAGAATGTACCGTAGTTTCTTGACTTGATTTTTATTTTCTAATTCTGCCTCAGGGTGTAAGTCAATTCTAAAAGTAATAGAATGCTGTCCTATCCTGTAGCTAGGTACTGTTAGCTAGAATCCTCTTTCTTTTGGTCTTCTTTACTGTCTGTATTCCTAGGATTTCTTCTTTTTCTAAGATATTTTAATCTTAATGAGAAAGTAACATCTAAATATTCTGGTCGTCTAGGATAAGATACAAGAATGATTTAATAGCTCTCCATGGTGGGTTTTGTTTGCTTTTCAATTAGTTTAATAACAACAGAAACTATTTTGTTTGTGTGAGAGCACTTCGATTCTCTAGAGATAGATGCTTTCCAAATCAATCAGTACACAAACTCACGTTCTCTTTAATAGGACCCCTCTGGTTAATGCCAGAATTTCTTAAATTACGTAGATGATGGAATCATAAAGGCAAAAGAAAACACAGAAATGATCTAGTTAGACCCTTTCACTTTACAGCTGTGACTGCTTAGATGCAGAAGCTAAGTGACTTGCTCAAAATCATACAGCTAGTTAACAAATGAGACAGTTCAGGCTTCCTGATCCCTGGTGCAGTCTCAATTTCTGATGTAACTACACTAATTTTTGTTGTTATTTTTTGTGAAGGAAGAACTTACAGCTTAATAGGAAGTAGGTTTTCCAGGAAATTTAAATGAGCTATTAAACTACCATAGTACTTCTTAGAATTCAAACATTTGGTTCAGTTTCTCATGTGTGAAATATTGAGTTAGTGTGTATTTCTTTCAGTCATTTAGTGTCACTGGAGTCTTAGTTATTAGCAAATTTGTTATGTTTCATATTCTAGATAGAAATTGCCCAATTGAAATAATGGTGAAGTTATACCTTATATTTAGTAGGCACTCATTTAGCTGCATTGAAATGAATCTTAATGTATTTTTTTCTTTGCACAATGGAGATAATCTGTTAATATTTAATACCATAAAGCAAAAAAGGAATTCTGCTTTCATGTGGCGATGCATTTATAAAACTAGAGTGGTGTGTTATGTAAAACTAAAAGTACAGCTCAATTTAATATGCATCTGGTGGATTCAGGGCTTGCAGAGTGCACATCTGTTGAGAAAACAGATCATAGAACTATTCAGAGTTTGCGCATCTTTAAATGTGTGTGCTTTGATTCTCTTCAGCTGTTTTGTAACCATTTTTAATGAATTTAGAAAAGGACATTTGCTCCAACAAAGCAACTTGTGAAGCCATTTATGGTACTGTTAGTCATTTTATTATTTCCACAGTACTTTGATATCTTAGCATTTTTCTTTCCAGGTCATTTATATCAAGAAAAGGGCTGTCTTAGTTACTTTTCTTGTTGCTGAGACAAAATACCCAATACCCCCAAGTGAGGACAGGAAAGGTTTATTTGGCTCAGTTTGTAGAGGCTTCAGTCCATAATGGGCTGGCTCCAAGGCAGGGTGGCCTGGCAGACAGGGATTGCAGAGGAGAAACAGTTCGTGGTGGTCAGAAGGTCCCAAAACAAGTAAGCTAGGGACCTGACAAATCAAATCTCTTTCTGTCCCTTATATTGTATCCAGGCTACCAGGATTAGAGGGTGTCAAGGCAATCAGCAGACTGATTTAGTAATTACACATCCTCAATCCCAGCACCCTTAATTCTAGTATAATAGCACCATGAATCAATCACACATTCTGGATCCAGCCGCCTCTGAAAAAGCCCAGCCTATGACTGCATGAGGCTTTGAGGGGACATCTAGACCCAAATTGTAACAGAGGTTAAATGACTTATAACAAAGTCAGTATATTACAGAACTGTATTTAAAAAGGAGGGAAGTCGGAGGTGGTGGCACAGGCCTGTAATCCCAGCTCTCAGGAAGCTGAGTGGGGAGGATCACTGTGACTTTGTGACCATCCTGCACTACAAAGTGAGACCCCCATCTCAAAAAACTAAAAACAAAACAAAATTAAAAAGGAAGGAATACAGTTTCCCAAATTGGATATACAGTATTGAAGATATTTTAAGGCTTTGAATTCAGAGTTAATGAAGAAATCATCTCAGACTTGCTACTCTGTATTCATTACAGTTCTAGTACTATAGAGATGTAAAAATTGAAGATGGGGTCTATTGATGGATTTAGGAACAAGACTGGAAAGATGGTAACACAATATGATATATAATGAGGTACAAACTTGATCTATTCCCTGAACACTATAGGAATTTAATATTTCAATTCTGTTCTCTATTCTTATGAGTATATACCTAGGAATGAAATTGCTGGGTCATAGGATAATTATGTATTTTATTTTATTATTACTGTATTTTTTGCATGGCTGAAGATTCAAACCTAGCTCATGCTAGGCAAATACTCTACCACTGAACTACATCCCAGCCCCTTTTAAATTTTATTTTGAGACAAGCCCTTACTAAGTAGCCCAGGGGGGGGTCTCAAACTTAGGATCCTCCTGCCTCAGCTTTCCAAGTAGCTGGGATTCGGCGGGGAGGGGTTGGTGGTGGTGTTTTGTTTTGTTTTGGTTTTTGCAGTACTGGGAATTGAACTCAGGATCTTGTGCTTGCAAGGCAGGTGCGTTGCCACTGAGCTAAATTCCTGGCCCTCCAAGTAGCTGGGATTTTGAGAAGGTTTTGCTGTGTTGTCCAGTCTAGTTATTAACTCCTACACTCAAACGATCCTCTGGCCTTCACTTCTTGAATAGCTGGAACTCCAGGCACCTAGCACTGTGCCCAAGAAACACAAATTTTATGTCATAAAGAATATCTACTTTCTCTTGCATTTTTACATGGTTAATGTTTGTCTGTCTTTTTTTTTTTGCTGTGGTGGGCATTGAACCCAGGGGCTCATGAATGATAGGTAAGGGACCTACCCCTGAGCTACATCCTCCACTCACTCCCAACCCTCCCCCCTCTTTTTTTTCTTTTTTCTTTTTTTTGTACCAGGGATGGAACTCAGGACCTTGTGCTTGTGAGGCAGGCAGTGGAACCACTGAGCAAAATCCCTGGCCTTCAACCTCATTTTTAAAAAAAAATTAATTTTGGGATGGAGTCTTGCTGAAATGTCCAGTCTGACCTCTAACATGGATTTCTTCTGCTTGAGTCTCCCGAGTAGCTGAGATTACAGGTGTGTACCATTGTGCCTGGTAATATTTATCTTTTGACGTTGAAGTTTTAATTATTTCATAGGCAAGGCTGTACAGTACTGTGTCTGTATTTTTCCTTCTTGAAATTTAACTTCCTATTGTTAGGCCAGAAATGACAGCATAAACCTCTTTATGTACTCATCTGTGATTAAACTAGGGTTACATTGTTGGCACTAAAATACTACCTCCCAGCTACTAAACATACTTTAAATCTAAGTTGCCACACTTACCAGTACTGATTTCAGGGCCATTGGGATTTATCTCTATGTGGACCAGGTTAGGACAATGAATTCTTTTTCTTTGGTTAAAAAATTTTAAGATTTCTGATTTATGGTTGAAAAGATTGAGATAAAACATGTTGACTTGGGCAATTGGTTTATCTATGTTTAGAAGTCAGAATTTTTAGACCTTAGTTCTATTCCTAGCCTTCCTTCCCTCTGTATGGGAGGTTCTTCCCTACTCAACTTTGGATGTCTTGCATTGGTTTCCTTTTTGTACTAAAAGACTTAGGTGTTGAGTTGGCTATTCAGGATGATAAGGTGTTTTCTTTCTTTCTTTTTTTTTTTTTTTTGGTACCGGGGATCGAACTCGGGTCCTTGTGCTTGCGCATCAGTCGGCGAAACCACTGAGCTAAATCCCCGGCCCGATAAGGTGTTTTCTTATTTGGAGGGAGCTAATTTGACACTACTTAACTTTAGTAGTAAAACTATATTGATTTCCTGTATTATTATAAAGCCTTGTGCCTGGAATGACCAGTTACAGAAAAGGGAGAATCTAACTTTGTCTTTGGCCACAGTGACCAGGGGAGAGATCAGGCCTCGGTTGAACTTGAGAATAGTCTATAGTGTCCTCACTAGGAGGAAACAGGTTGTACATTAAAGTTTTGGTTTTAAAGTAATAAAATACCTATGTGAGAGGGTGTCAGTGTGCAACCTGAAGAGATTTTTCAAGAACCGCAGCATATGTAACTATAGAATACATGATTGTTTTATGATATCCCTGAACTGAGTGTAACTTAATTGTAATGTCATAGTAGAGCATAAAAAATAAAATAGTAGTGTTAACTTTGACAGACTGTCTACTTCAAACCAGTAACTACATACTTAGTTTTGTGGTATTGGTTTTCATTGAACTCTTGAGCTGATGTTTCCTTGCAAATGTTATTTGTAATTTAAACATTGGTATTAGTAAGGTTTTCTATTACTGTGAGCTGCTTACAGAGGAAAAACATTTATTGTAAATGTTTTAGAGTTGTATAGATTTATAACAAAATGTAAGTGCTTATAATTTTACTCATATAGGGAAATTTAAGTTTGATGTATATTTTAAAAAAATTTTTTCTTTACATGTGCTTTTATTTTTTGTTAGAGAATATACTGCATACTATTTATCTTCTTGTTTATGCACACTTTTCTTAGCAGTACACGTCAGTGTTTTGTCAATTTTTAAATTTTTTTGATTCTGGGAATTGAACTCAGAGCCTTTACATTGACTTACATCCCCAACTCATTTTTACTTCTGATTTTATTTTATTTTATTTTTTATTTTGAGGGTTTTTTTAGGGGGCGATAGAATATCACTATGTAGTTCTCAGGCAGACCTTGTACTCATGGAGATCCTTCTGTCTCACCCTCCCCAGTGCTGGGATTACAGGCATATACCACCCCACCTGCCTTTTTGAGGGTGTGGACAAGATGCTTGGTTTGATGTTTTGTTGAGAAAGGGTCTCACTATATATTCCAGGCAGGACTTGAACTGGTTATCCTCTTGCCTTAGCCTTTGTAGTGCTGGAATTACAGACATGTACTACCATGCCTGGCTTTGTTTCTTACTCAAACTATTTATGAGATTATTTCATATGTGACCATTGTAAAGATTTGAACAAGTTACAAAGAACAAAATAAAACCACATGTAATATTTTCTTGAGGGTAATTATTGGCTGTTAAAATTTTACAAATTTGAAGCAGGGTGTGATGGCACATGCCTGTAAATCCAGCACTCTGGAGGGTGAGGCAGGAGGATCATTGAGTTGAAGGCTTGCCTGGGCCACATAGTGAGACTCTGTCTCAAAAACAGAAACGAAAAACAGAAAAAAGAAAAAAATTTTTTTTCAATTTTGTTCTGTGATTATATATTTTACACAGATATTTTAAATAAAATTTAAACTATTGAATTTAGTATATTTTACTTAATGTTGAGAACATTGCTCCATATCAACAGATATTGTTTTATGGTTATATCACACAAATTTAACTATACCTCTCATGGTTTTTATTTTCAGATTTTTGTTTTTATAAATTCTGAGATAGATGTCAGCCTTTTTTTGGGCTGGGGATTTAGCTCAGTGGTTTTGCTGCCTGCTGCACAAGTGCAAGGACCCGAGTTCAATCCCCAGTACCAAAAAAACCCACCTTTTTTGTCTTGTTTTGTTTTTTGTGGTACTGGGGCTTGAACCCAGAGCTTCACATGTTAGGCAAACACTCTACCACTGAGCTACATCGCCAGCTTTGTTTTTTTTAAATCTTTTTGACAGGGTCTCACTATGTAGTCTAGGCTGGCCTTCAACTTACTACGTAGCTTTGGCTGCCCTCAAATTTAAGATTCTTTTCCTCTAGCTTCTTTAGTGCTAGTTTAGAGGTGGATACAACCATACCCGGCTTCTTATTTTTAATTTTGAGATAGGATCTGCTAAATTGCCTTCGATTTATAATCCTCTTGCCTCACCATCCTGAGTAATTGGGATTGTAAGCATGCTGGATTACACCTAGCAAACATCAGCCTATCCCTGGCTCCTTTTTTTTTTGGTACCAGGGATTGAACTCAGGACCTTGCGCTTGCAAGGCAGGCGTCAGAGCCACTGAGCTAAATCCCTGGCCCCTGCCTCCTTTCGTTTTGAGACAGGGTCTTGCTTAGTTGGCCAGGCTGTGCTCAAACTTGTGATCCTCCTGCCTCAACCTCTCAGAGTGCTCAGACATCAACTTGCTATGTTCTTTTTTTTTTTATTATTTTCTTTCATTTTAATATATTGATACTGTTATTTATTCTCCAAGGTTCAATAAATGAACATTTTGCCCTGTGGTCTTCCAAAAGGTGTGTTCCTCTCAGCAAGGAAAGAGGGTTTATTTTCTGGACTCTTGACAACATTGAATGTCATGATTTTCTTTCATTTCTGTAGTTTTATAGATGAGAAAATGTTGTTTTAGTGTGATATTTTTAGTGTAGACAGTATATTGAATGTAATACAGTGGTTTAAACCTTTGGATATCACATTTTGTTTGTTTTTGGTTTTTTGGTACCGGGGATCGAACTGGGGACCTTGTGCTTGCGAGGCAGGCGCCGGAACCACTGAGCTAAATCCCTGGCCCTGGTTATCACATTCTGTAACTGACTAGAAAGTTGAAAAGTAAAGTCATATAAGTCATTTAAAAATAAAATAGTTTGAGTCACATCAGTGTTGTATTTAGTTGTGAAATGTTAGAGATGATAATGAAAATTGCAGAGGACCTGCCTTTTCAGGTTGCATTGCCGTGTGTGAGACTTGGTAGAGCCTGCTGACAGCCCACCCGGAGGTTTCAAGGGCGGGCTCTGAGGATTGTCAGGTTGTACTGTAGCTGTTAAGAACCCTCTTCATCCGGGGTGAAAAACCTCTGTGGAGAAAGAAAGTGGTTTGCTAAGCAAATTATTGGTGTAATCAGCATCTTAGTGTCAAATCATAACATAATAGTTGCTTTAGAGGGATTTATATTTCACATGTTAATTATGACTCTTCTTTATTTGTATTAGAAATGTCCCCAAAGGACACCTAATTAGAAAAAAATTTTATTGTGGTGGTACTCGTGGTTGAACTCATGAATGCTCTACCACAGTGTGGTTTATTACTTGTATTTGAACACTTAAGACAGCATTTGATTTTCCCTTTCTCTTTCTTTTTTGGTACTGGGGATCGAACTCGGGACCTTGCACTTGTGAGGCAGACAGAGGAAACACTGAGCTAAATCCCTGGCCTGATTTTCCTTTTCTTTAATGTTTTGAAATGATTACAATTCCTAATTTAAGAAAGACATTATTTGGGCTGATCTTTATAATATCTGCCCCAAAGTGATCACCTGTAAGTTAAGGAGCGGTGGTCATTTTTTAATGTAAAGATCACAACTTTTTTCTCCTTCCTCTCTTTTCAGTATTGGGGATTAAACCAGGGCCTTTGCACTGAGCTATATCCTCAGCCATTTTTATTTTGAGATTTTAAATTTTTATTATTTTGGTACTGGGGATCAAACTCGGGACCTTGCGGTTTCGAGGCAGGCAGTGGCACCACTGAGCTAAATCCCCAGTCCTATTTTGAGGCAAGGTTTCGTTAAATTACACTGGCTGGCCTCAAACTTAAAATCCTGCACCCTATTACGGGCATGCCCCTTTGTGCCCAGCAGATGTATATCTGTATTGACTCCTCTCAGATCTGCTGTTTGAGCTAATCATGAAATGAAGTACCCTGTCTTTATCCTTTTTTTTTTTGGTACCGGGGATTGAACTCAGAACCTTGCACTTTCGAGGCAGGCGGCAGAACCACTGAGTTAAATCCCTGGCCCTATGCATATTTTTGTAGGCATAAGAAGTGTCTGAGCTGAGAAACAGAGTGTAAGGTAGGAAGTTTCTATTCTGAGTCTGAGCTCAGGGCCAAGGATTTAGCTCAGTGATGCCAGTGCCTGCCTCAGAAGCGCAAGGTCTTGAGTTCAATCCCTGGTACCAAAAAACAAACAAACAAACAAAAAGTCTGAGCTCAAAAGCTCATGTGCTTTTCCTAAGAGTGTACTACATAGTCACTTGAACTTGATATACTTTTACTTACAGTTTTTATTATACATCATAGCAAATTAAAGAACACTAATTGCAGGACAGGGAAGGAACATGTGGTAGAACTGAACAGAGTATCAAAATTGACTTTTTTTGTTTTTGGGGGGTTTTTTTGGTACTGGGGATCGA